TTTTAAAGGGCCACATATTTGCGTAAATTCAAGCGCGGGGATATGCGAAATAAATGCCCAAATATACGCGTCCTACAAGAACCCATATATACGCGTGCTGAAATGCGCGAAAATGCGGGTCTCGTAAAGTACGTTGTATATGCCAGCACGAAATGTGCCTTTTAAGAGAATGGCTGTTCGTGTATGATAGCAATGAAAATTGCTTTAAATAGAAATCGTCAATATGGCGGCAGTGGTGAAATGCCTTGTCTTGGTCTATCTGCTATTTAATGTTTGTTACTGCAGCTCCCTCAGTCAAACAATAGATTGTGCGCGGAACTGGACCTCAATTCCAACATAAATCTTGGCATCTTTGTTTGCCCTTTTGATGTTTCCCGGGTTTCATAACCATTTCCTTCGAAAAACCATGAAATAATGAAACTCAAGTTGTCAGATCTAAAAGATCCTTATTATTATGATGACACTAATATAAATTGCAATATTGACAGGGTGTTAATGACAGACAAAAATTACGCTATGTAGTATCCTGATTGGCTAATTTTAAAGTTTCTCGCGCCTAGTTTATTGGGTTGGCTCGACCTGAGATTTAGATAACTGACAACAACGGAAGTTTAAAATGTGTGTAGGGCACTTTTTTTAAGTTGAAATAATAAAACGAGTGTTGCGTTTGTTTCATGATTTTTCTTCTAATTGCTGGTATATATTTTGATTTCTTTTTTCGGAAACTTTTTAAAATATTTTTTGTAGAATACGTACTGAAGAAATTGGTGAAATTATGGTTATATTCGTATTTCAATACCTCCCTGTTCGACTCTGAGTTTAGCTCAAAGATATTCATAGAGAAAAAGTTCCAGTCGTTAGTATTAGTGTTACTTACTTGGTGAACGCTGCGATCGCCAGCAGAGTAACTAAAGCATAGCTTGGTGAGTTGTGGATACCTCCAGATCCTTAATATAAAAATAAAAACTAATTTGTTATCCCGATTTTGTCAGACGAACCATTTTCGAACAATGGTAAAGGAAACCGTACAATTGGCTGTTAAATTGGCAGGTTTCACACTTCAGACTTTGTGTTTAACTGGTAAGCCCAACCGGCAACAAAAAAATAAAATAAAGTTATAATAAAAAAGCCTATAAAGTCATACCAGACGATTGAATATCGGTCAGACTGTAAAACGCAGACTGCGGACTGCAGGCTGCAGACTGCAGACTGCACACCAGGGTTGAAACGTAGACTGAGGGTAAAATTCAGACTGCAGACTGTATAACTTTTAAATGAATCGTGTAACCATTTCCATAATTGACAGCTAACCGTAAACAGGCTAACCGGAGCGCTGTTTAGGTAATATTCAGTCTAGTGTGAGCGGTTTCCAGGCCAACCTGAGTGATATTCAGTCTAACCTGAGTGATATTCAGTCTAACCTGAGTGATATTCAGTCTAACCTGAGTGATATTCAGTCTAACCTGAGTGATATTCAGTCTAACCTGAGTGATATTCAGTCTAGCCTGAGTGATATTCAGTCTAACCAGAGTGAAATTCAGTCTAACCTGAGTGGTATTCAGTCTAACCTGAGTGATATTTAGTCTAACCTGAGTGATATTTAGTCCAACCAGAGTGATAGTCAGTCTAACCTGAGTGATATTCAGTCTAACCTGAGTGATATTTAGTCTAACCAGAGTGATATTCAGTCTAACCTGAGTGATATTCAGTCTAACCTGAGTGATATTCAGTCTAACCTGAGTGATATTCAGTCTAACCTGAGTGATATTCAGTCTAACCTGAGTGATATTCAGTCTAACCTGAGTGATATTCAGTCTAAGCTGAGTGATATTCAGTCTAAGCTGGGTGATGTTCAGTCTAACCTGAGTGATGTTCAGTCTAGCGTGAGCAGTTTTCAGGCTAACCAGAGTGATATTCAGTCTAATTGGAGTCCGGACTTTCACTGCGAATTTAGCCTGGTCTGCAGTTTGCATTTTACCCGCAGTCTGAATTTCCCCCATTCTGCAGTCTGTAGTCTGCGTTTACAGCTCACTGGATTGAATGATTCCTAATACTATGAGATTTGGACAATGACGCCACCAACAGTCACCCTATAGCGAGGCAGACAAACAAATCTGTAAAGCTCGCCTTCATCGTCGCATATATCGGAACAAGTTCCTTTAGATTCTTTTGGGCAATGTCCATCCTCCTCCTTTTCGTCAGGTTCAATTCCTTTACACTTGTCTGTCGGAGTGCACTTCCTTTCTACAGTTAATGCTCCACCTGCTCCATCACAGCAGACGGCTTGGCATTGCCCGTCTTTTGGTGTGTATTCCGAGGCTAAAGTGATTCCTAAAACACGACAGACAATGTTAAAAAAAGATAATTAGTAATTGCACAAACTGTTTTACTCATTCAGTGGATGCATTTTTGTTTTGCTTGTTTGTTTGCTTTTTTGTGGTCAGTAATTCTTGGCATTACTAAAACAACTAAAACGGCCAACAACTAAAATAATCCAATCACAATCCTTTTAGTATTAGTATCAGCATGGGCATGGGCATGGGCATTAGCATTAGCATTAGCCTTAGCCTTAGCAGTAGCAATAGCATCAGCATTAGCAACAACATAAGCATTAGCGTCAACATTAGCCTTAGACTTAGCAATACCCTTAGCATTATCATTAGCATTAGCATTAGCATTAGCAATAGCATAAGCATTAGCATAAGCCTTAGCAATAGTATTAGTATTAGCATTAGCATTAGCGTAAGCATTACCAATAGCATTAGCATTAGTATTAGCATTAGCATTAGCAATAGCACTAGTATTAGCATTAGCATTAGCAATAGCATTAGCACTAGTATTAGCATTAGCAATAGCATTAGCATTAGCATCAGCATTAGCATTTGCATTAGCAATAGCATTAGCATTAGCATCAGCATTAGCATTTGCATTAGCAATAGCATTAGCANATAGCATTAGCACTAGTATTAGCATTAGCAATAGCATTAGCATTAGCATCAGCATTAGCATTTGCATTAGCAATAGCATTAGCATTAGCATCAGCATTAGCATTTGCATTAGCAATAGCATTAGCACTAGTATTAGCATTAGCAATAGCATTAGCATTAACATCAGCATTAGCATTTGCATTAGCAATAGCATTAGCATTAGCATCAGCATTAGCATTTGCATTAGCAATAGCATTAGCATTAGCATCAGCATTAGCATTTGCATTAGCAATAGCATTAGCACTAGCCTTAGTATTAGCATTAGAAAAAGAATTAGCATAAGCATTAGCATCAACATTAGCCTTAGCCATTAGCATTAGCATTTGCATTAGCATTAGCATTACCAACAGCATTAGCATTAGCACTAGTATTAGCACTAGCCCTAGCATTAGCATTAGCATTAGCATTAGCAGAAACATTAGCATTAGCGATAGCATTAGCAATAACAATAGCAATAGCAATAGCAATAGCATTAACACTAGCACTAGCCCTAGTCCTAGTAGCCCTAGCCTTAGCAGTAGCAATAGCAATAGCAACAGCAATAGCAACAGAGACAGCAACAACAA